GCGTGTGTGTGTGTGTGTGTGTGTGTGTGTGTGTGTGTGTGTGTGTGTGTGTGTGTGTGTGTGAGAAATGGTGGGCAGCCGGTGTCATCATTTTTTCACACCCCCCCTCTTCTCTTCCACATGCATATTTCATGGAACTGGTCATTTATGTCGCCAACCGTAGAGTTCCTTCGCCAAACCAATGCACTATACTCTGTATGTGTTTGTGTGTGTGTGTGTGCACGGATGTGTGTGTGTGTCATTGTGTACTTTGTGCTGTCCAACTCTAGGGATATTAAATGGAAAAATATTGAATTATCTAAATTATTATTCTGTTAAAAAACATCTCTTACTGTTGAAAATCCATAGACAGACAGCTGCTGTCTGCGCGCTGCATGATTGAGCGTGATTGTCCTGCTGTAGGAGCCGTCTATGTTTGACTGATGTGTTTTTATAACTGCAGTGTAGTTCAGACTGGAGGCATCAGAATTACATTCACATATGGGTGTCCGCCTTCTGATTATCCCCCCCCCCCCCCGAGTCTGCCTTTACCGTATTTCTGCAGTGACAAAGGACAAGGACAGACAATTTTGTCTGGATTTTATACACTTGTTAATACCTGTGTGTGTGTGTGTGTGTGTGTGTGTGTGTGTGTGTGTGTGTGTGTGTGTGTGTACTTGTGTTGCTCAAGTTGGGGGGGCATTAATCTGTCTACACAGTCACATTGTGGGGGTTGGGGACTTGACTTGACAAGAAGGTTTAAGGCTAGTGCAAATGTTAGGGTTAGGCAAGTAGTGGTTAGGGTTTGGGTAAGGCCGAGCTCAAACAAGTGAACATTTTTTTTTTTTTTTTTTTTTTTTTTTTTTTTTTAAATGTTAGATAGTGAGAGAGAGACGGGGACGTTGGAGAGAGAGAGGGAATGACATGCAGCAAAGGACCGTGGGTCGGATTCGAACCCATGGTTGCTGCGGTTAGGACTGAGCCTGTGTGGTACGTGCTCTACCAGGTGAGCCACCGAGGCGCCCCGAGCTCAAACAGTGACTATGAGTTAACACAGGCCCTCTCCTTCATTTGAATAGGGGACGTGTGCTGATGCAGCTGGGGTGATATCAAAGTCGGGTTGTCTAAACTGATGCAGCGTTGTGGGGCAAAAAAGCTGAACCTGGTTCAGCTTTCTCTGCCATGCAACGTAACATCTTCCCCATTCTGCAAGGTGCTGCGTTGGCCAATCCCATACATGCAAGTGTATGTTTGTTGGTGAATGCTGTATTTCTGCTGCTCACCTCAAAATTGTCACAACAGTTGTGTTAACTATCCAGAGTTGTAAAATCATGTTTCTGAGTATTTCAAACCACTGTGCTGTGTTTTGGCGTCTAACAAGCTTTTAAAGACATAAATCTGTTCTACAGGATCATATTTCTTTGTCTCACCCCCTCGGTAGGTGAATGAACAAACACGTCCCCGCCAACACGGCCCCTTGCATTGTTTTAACAAAGGGAAAATGTCTGTGTGAATACAGCGCAAGTCTCCAGGAAATGTAAGCCAATGTTTATGTCCCCTGAAGTGACGGAAACACAACTGTATGTGTGTGTGTGTGTGTGTGTGTGTGTGTGTGTGTGTGTGTGTGTGTGTGTGTGTGTGTGCGTGTTGTGTGCGTGTGCGCAGGGCTATGCATATGTGGCAGCTGTACACAAGATGCAGTGTTTGGTCTGTAAACAGCAGCCTCTGCTCTGTCACACTGGGCAGTGTGAAGCTTGGTTGGAGCCCAGATTGTCTAAAATAGTCCTCTCCATGCAGGAGCAGGAACCGAACAACCCCATAAACTAGGCCATTGCATAACTGTGTGTGTACAGCTGCAAAAATTCAACGATCAGTCAATAGACACAAAAATTAATATGCAACTATTTTGATAATAAAATAATAATTTAGTCAATTTCCTAATTCCAGTGTGAGGATTTTATGCTTTTCTTTGTCATACATGGCAGAAAAATGAATATCTTTGGTGTTGGACTGTGTTGGTTGGACAAACTAAGACATTTGAAGATGTCACCTTGATGTCTGCCATATTGTAACAGGCTTTGTTGACAATTTTTTGAGATTTTATTGACAAAACGGTTAAGAGATTAATCAAGAATCTGCAGATTAATCGACCCTGTGTGTGTGTGTGTGTGTGTGTGTGTGTGTGTGTGTGTGTGTGTGTTTGTTTCTCCTGTCAAGAAGTCTCTAATTTCACAATTTGATTTATGTAAAATAATAAATGTGTACTTCTCTTTTATTCTCATAAACAAAATAATAAAATGATAATAAATATCATCTCATCTACATGAACATATTACAGAACAGAACCGTGGTTTGTTTTGCTCATCATTACCATGAAATGTTTTTGGATGACTTAAGACGGTTCAACTGTCGTGCTGTTATTTGAAGCACCTATTGCTTTGCTACACTTGTGGCCACTGAAAGCTAGAAGTGCAAAAGTGCAAAAGTTTTACAGTAAACTGCAACACACAGGGGTTTCACTTCCTTTCCCATCTACTGTTAATATGTCATTTTTAATAATGCAACACTGTTCTGTGGTCGGACCAGATCAAGAGGTTTCTGTCACACCTGTGACACTCGCACACACACTAAAAAAGAATGTAGTTTTGGTATTGTTTTGGTTATTTTTAACATTCAGATGATACTTAGAGCAAAGTAGGGCAGCAGTAGAATAAGTCTCAGTTCTGTCTTCAGTGACCTGACAGTACTCCTGCAAAAAGGATCATAAAGGTGTGCTTGAAAGAAGTAAAACTAAAGCTAATGAGTGAGGTAAGGGCTATTTCAGTCCCAAATGATGTATGCTAATTTTGATATGTGGATGTGATATGCATTTTCAGATAATTATGCATGAACTTTACTGTTTGTATTGTGCATGTTAGTGTTTTCATTTTTCAACTGCCTGTAAGGCTAGGTCACAAAAAAAAAGATGCATACAGCAGTCATTTTAAATGTCAATTGAATGCAGATCTCCAGAGTAACCCAAAAAGAATGTGCCTCATTATAAGAAATGTAATCAAGCCTTAAAGGTTTGATTCTTTGTATGGACGCTACACCAGACATATTCTGTACATAACTAATAACTATCATGTGTGTACATAATTGATTAGCCTCATGGAAACTGACACTAACAGTCCTCTGTGCTTTGTCATTTAAGGGGTGTGTGTTTGTGTGTGTCTGTGATTTTTTTTCATCCCTGCTCTGTAATTAAAGGAGATGAAGGCAGGTGGTTTATATAAGACATGCTTAGAGGTCTGCCCAGTAGGTGTGTGTGTGTGTGTGTGTGTGTGTGTGTGTGTGTGTGTGTGTGTGTGTGTGTGTGTGTGTGTTTTAGTTACAAGAAAGGCAGAGCTGGTTCTAATGTGTATATACAGTATGTGTCCATGTTTATGGCTCGTGTAATGCTGTTAAGATTGTCTGTCTTTACGGCCTGTCTCATAGCTATAATTTTCCATAAATTGTCCACATGGTTAATAGATGCTAGTGATGGATGCTAGTAGTTAATGGGCTGAGGTTTCATTTGAACTCTATTTCTTACCAACATCAACCTTTAGATAACCAAGCTTGTGCATTACTATTTTGTTCTGTGTGTGTGTGCGTGTGCATGTGTGTGCGTGTGCGTGTGTGTGTGTGTGTAGAACGATGGATAAAAACTGTTTTTTTGAGAAAAAATAAAACTTTTGAGTGTGAAAATGCTTTCAGTGGTTTTTGAAGTGTTGTTTTGAATGCATTTAAAACTTAAAGCACTTAAATTCACATCTGGGATTTTAGTTACTGTATATGCAGTAACTATAAGTGTAGTTTGTTTCTCTATGTAAATCTAAATTTGTCTGATGTTTTTAGTTATTTTTCCCAAGTTACTGTCGCTAAGGGTGTAACTTTGCTTCTCATTGTCAAATCTTACATATAGGTATATGTGGACAGTTGGTCTGTTTAAATGAAGAGCTGCTAGCACTGGTTGTAGTTTTGGCCAACCCTAAGCTGAACCTAAAGTCAGTGCTTTTTCCCATGCTTTTACTGCAGCTACTCCATCCCACTGCCTCCTGGGAGGTACCGCCTCGGCCTCATGTTGAGCCTTGTGTTGAGCCAGGGAAAATCCTTTGTTGGTTAAAGTTTTTTTTTCTCATTCCAACACTGATGAAATCTTGTTGCATCAAGTGCACTGCTTCCCAGTGTCAGTGGTGCCTGTAGTATTAGGACAGGTGCTGATCCATCTGACAGGTTCTCATGCACAGATCAGAAAATGAACCTGTTCTTGTACTGAGTCTTTTATCGTATGCACTGCAGTGCAATGAAATGCATTTCTGCCAGGAGGAAAGCTCCTGTGTGTGTGTGTGTGTGTGTGTGTGTGTGTGTGTGTGTGTGTGTGTGTGTGTGTGTGTGTGTGTGTGTGTGTGGTTTTGTATAAACATCTGTGAGGCAAACTGCAAGCTGTGCAGAGCTAAGGTATCTTAATGTATGGAGAGACTCAGCTCTGCCTTTGGCTTTGTTGAAAGGCAACACACCAGCATCAAGCCTAATAAAGAGAGTACACAGAATATTGATGAAACTATATCCAAATATGCATTTAAATTTCAATCCATCCATTTATATTCATACCTGTTCAGGTTGACAGTAGCAGAAGGACTTGCAGAGCAGCCAAATGTCTTCTTTCTCAGTAATGTCCCCCTCCTTCCCCCGAGACGAGCTGAGAGTAAAGCTGTGTTCACACAAAGTCGTAGATGGTTTCTGGCCTCTCATAAATCTCCAGCTCTGTCAGTGTGTTGCGTCAAGCACATAATTTACAAAGTCTTTGGCCACTGTCCTACGCACAAGGAACTTTTTAATTTCCTGTTATGCAGTTGTTTCCCAGAGTACAGAATAGCTTTGTTTCCTGTCTCTCTAAACACAGTGTGTTTTGTGGAAAGTGTTTTAATATGACAACGATGCCAGAGTGGACCAGAGTTGATTCCTAATCCTCTTTCTTATCCTCTCTCCCATCACAGCAAATGGTGATGAGCCTGCGGGTGTCGGAGCTGCAGGTGCTGCTGGGCTACGCTGGGCGAAACAAGCACGGACGCAAACATGAGCTGCTGACCAAGGCGCTGCATCTGCTTAAAGCCGGCTGCAGCCCCGCTGTGCACATGAAGATCAAAGAGCTCTACCGACGACGCTTTCCTGCCAAAATGGTATCCCACTCAGAGCTTGCCCTGCCTGGACCGCACCACCCTGCCACAGCTGGAGTGGTCGGAGGAGGGGGCGCAGCACTGCCCGCTGGTCTGACACAGCTGGCGTATGAGGGTCACGCCGGTCACGGTGGAGCCCCGTCGCCTGCTGCCTTACTGCCCCTCTCACTGCTCGGCCCTGGGAAACATGAGCTGACCGGGCTGACGCACCACCTGCCCACCTCAGCCACGCTGCATCCGGTCCATCCAGATGTCAAGCTCCAGAGGCTCCCCTTCTATGACATGCTGGACGAACTCATCAAGCCCACCAGTCTAGGTAAGGAAGCGTGCGAGTGTGGTTTTACTTATCAGCTTTATAGTTTTGAATCAGGACCTTCAGTATTTGGATCAAATGGCCTGTCAAAAATAAGGTTGGTTGAATTTAGACGGCTACGCTTGTTATTTCAATGTGTTCAGTAAATATAAGTATCAGATTTGGCCTCATGGTTAAAGTAAATACCATATTACTGCAATGTACATTATGATTCCAGCCAGGGAACCTACTTACATCTCAGTCTCTCTTTCTCGCTCTCTCTCTCTATCTTGTCAGACCGTCTAATAAATGTGAAGCTACCGAAAAAATAATCTGCAAGGTTATTATTAGTTAGTATATTATTCCCATGTTAATCATGGCAGCAGTCACAGAAAACATTGACATTTATATTTCCTCTGTTGTGTAAAAAGGTTTCCTGCCAGTCTTGGTGTTGTGCTGCCTGCTAATGTGTTGACAGGCCACAGAGAAGTTAATGCAAAAATATCATTTTCACATTTCTCTGGAGAGTTCAGAGTCGACAGGGGCCACAGTTGGTTCCCAAGAGGTGTTTGTGAAAATATTAATCGGGTGCCTTATCCGTCATTCATCCAACAAAGTAAAAGCTGGAGAATTTGTCTTCTCAGATTCTCTTGTACTAGTTCAAAGACTTTACCTAAGAGTGTTTGTTCTCGTTCAGGTGTTTATCTCCATTAATGATCAAGAAAGCCTGCAGTTAGTCACAAGCTTGAAAACAATATATGAATATTAATTATACCATATTTCCTCTCATTAAAAACCGAGAGTCAATTAAAAGCTGGGGGCAAATAAAGGCTGGCCCCCAAATACAGGCCAGGGGAGAAACAAGGATGGATAAACTCCTGGTGCCTGTCATATCATGTGGATGGCAATAAAGCATAATGTATCTCTACTGCTCTAATTTAATAAATTCAATACAATCGTGCTACTTTCAACACTTTGTTGATCTGGATTACTCATCGAAAGTATTTGATTCAGTCATTCTGATCCACTTTTCGGGTGTTGTTTTATTTGAGCCTGCAAATGTTTCACAATAAAAGCCCTGTTAAGAACTAAAGAGTTTCGGTCCAGTGAAACGCTAGAGGGCTTTTAATTAGAAATGGTTTGTATTAGTTTGTATTAACAGCATAATGCAGGAACTTTGAGAAGACAAACAAGAACGGATCAAAACGAGGTTTCTTACCAAAATATGACCAATTATATATATCAACCAGAAAGAATTAGAAATCTTTTTTCTTTTTTTGTGGATCTGAAGGTAATTTTGAGGGGGGCATTCAATCACTGGATAAGGTTTCAGTATGCATGACAGGTGAATAATGCTGCTTATTTGGATATTTGTAATGCTATATGTGGACTGCTGTGCTGTAATTTGTTTTTGGTGGGTTGAGCAGTGCTGCCATATGATGTATTTTCATTGTATGTATATGTTTGTAACTATGAGACCAATTTTTCATCAGCGTGGAACCACTGAATATAAATGGATCACTGCATGTAGACTATCAACAACATAGTTGACAGTATTGTTACGGCGCTGCCCTGGAAACAGCTGTGGCCAGAGGCATTATGTTTTCTGTTTGTCCGTCTGTCCATCTGTGGATATGTTTGTCATGTGAACACGATATCTATAGGAACACCTGGAGGGAATTTCTTTAAATTTGGAGCAAACGTTCACTTGGACCCAAGGACAAACTGATTAGAATTTGGTGATTAAAGGTCAAAGGTAAAGGTCAATGTGACCTTGCAAAACACGTGTTTGGATAACTCCAGAATTCCTAATCTGATTATTGGATAATACAATTAATACCTTTTATTATGAGTCTGGTCAGACATAAATGTAAACTGCAACTTGACAACTGCAAGGCAGTAATTCTAATATTTACCTATAAAGGCTTGTGTCTCCTAGGATACTACATTAAGTGAGCAATCAGAGGCCAGGCATTTATAATGTTTGAAGGAAACTCTTCAAGCACAGTAGTTGAGCTTCACTCAGTAGCACTCCTGAGAAAATATTTGTGCACTGGCTCCACATAACACCATCATGTCTTAACTTCCTTAACAAAACTCAGTTTTCATAGTGGTTTGATTGAAATACTACGAAATACTGTTTGTTGCACAGATGTATGTGACATCACCTCTTTCCAGCTGTGCCCCACCCACTTCAAACCCATGAGAGGAACCCAGGCAAAAATGCAAATACGCAACTCTTTCATGTAAAATAGCTAACACTGTTCCAACTTTGTTGGAAAATAGTGTGTTCATGTAAGACCTCACTGAGAGTAAGAAGCTGACTTCATAATCCAGATATCTGGTATCTTCTCTTGTCTGATTTCATGAAGGCCCAGCGTTTAAGCATCATGTCTTGTATGCAGTCTGCCTTTTAAATCGCTGCTTAAGAGACTTTTAATCTTGGCTTTATTTTGGTCAGATTTGTCTTTATATTAGCTGTGCATCCAGCACCCAGCCTGCATTTAGCTTGACAACATTCTTTGGGCTCTGGGATATATTGCAAATATATGGAAATGTCTAGATTTTCCTACATTAGCATTTTAATGGAGTAAGAGACCATCTCATGATTAATTTGCCTGCAGATGCATGTACAAACACAGTGCCTGCAGCTCTGTCATCACACCATGTTTCTCCTCTTCCCTCTCCCTTTCTCACTCTATCCATTTCCTGCACATTTCCCTTCCTCCTCTGGCTCTTCTCTCTCTTTCTTTCTCTCTCCCTCTCTCTCTCTCTCTCTATCCCTCTGTCCTCCATCCTCACTCTGTCTCCGTGGCCATCCTCGATTAAAATTTGCATGCAAAGTGATGAAATCATACAGGCATACACCTGTGCCCGCAGAACACACCCACCCCTCATTTGAATCACACTGCTCGCACACTAACTGATACACGCGCGTCTGCACAGCACTTTGAAAACACAAACGTACTTTCCAATAAATAATGCATGTTTATCGCATTGTTCTCAGAGAAGCAGAGAGAGTGAAAGGATAAGTAAGAGGAGCTAAAACCCAGAGGAAGATGGTGCTCATCATTAGACGACACCGAATTTGCTTCAAAAAGTGAAGCTCAGCTGCGGCTTTGGAGGTGGCGACCCTCTTCATCCTAATAATAATGTAGCGCAGTAATGAAACCACTTGATTAACTGTGATTCCTCACTGGTGTGCGGACTGAGAGATTTTTTTTTTGCTTTAAGGCAGCCGTGGTCTCCTCTGCTTGTTTACGTCTCTCTGATCTTCTGATTACTGTTCAATCCTTCTCTCCCTCTCTCTCTCTCTCTCTCTCTCTCTCCATTGTTGGTGCCTCTCCTATTCGCCTCCTGTTTATCTCTCCCTAACTCTCTCATTTTTTTCCTGACTCCCTTCCCCCCACTTGCTTACTGTCCTGTTTTGCTGTGGTTTTTTTCTGTAGAAAGCTGATTTGTTGGCTATGTATGTGCTTAACCAGGATTCTAACAGGGTTTTATAAGAGCACATATGCATGACAGACAGTGCAGTGAAAGGACAGATTATCACTTGTTTGTTGCGTCCTTGAATCTAAAATTGGAATAAATAAGTCTGTTTCCACAGCTGAACTGGAGGTCATGTATGACCCATGTGAAATTTAAAATTGAATTGGTCTGCTTGCAATTACACAAACAATTTGGCAAAAAAAAACACACATAAAAAATGCAAATAACTACAAAACAGCTCAGCAGAAAACAGCACAACATTGGATAGGGGAAGGTTTATGCCACCTGTCTTAAAGAGCAGCAAGATGCAGTACGTTCTTAAATATGGGGCTAAAATTAGATAACATTCACAGTTTGTTCGCATTTGTTCGTATAAATAGCTGTGTAAAGAATGAACAAACGCTATCTGACATCCAGATGTAGCATCAGATAAGATTGTATGCTGTCTCTACCATACAAGTTCTGCACAATGTCAATTCCTCACTACAACTGTCCTATAAATTCAGCACTTAAACTAAAATACACAGATTTGTTTACTACAGTAATGACCTCTTGCATATTCCTCTCATGTTAGCTTTCCCCTCATTTTAAACAACTTTTGGATCATTTCATTCAAAAAGCTTTGGATGCTTTTTATTGCCGTCTGGTCGCAGATACAGGGCTTTAAAATGGAGAAAAGCTTGTTTTGGCAGAAGTTTTGTCCCTTCTGCCACAGCAACCCTAAACAAACTGCATCACTGACACTACTGTGCAGATCCAGATTCGTGTGTGTGTGTGTGTGTGTGTGTGTGTGTGTGTGTGTGTGTGTGTGTGTGTGTGTGTGTGTGTGTGTGTGTGTGATTCCCAAATTTTTGAACCTTTAACTGAATAAGCACGAGAAGTAGTTTTGTCTGCAATTCTGCTGTCTTTTCAAAAACTGGACTTGATCTGTTTAATATGCATTTCCCAACACTTCATACAGGAAGTGATGTTGAAGTTTACTGTAAGTGAACAATTCATGATCTAAGAAAGCTTTGCATGCACAGTAAGATGAAAACTATGTTCTCTGTCACTGCAGGCCCAGTCCTGTTACTGTGACATCGGTCCAAATGTTAGAAACTGTTCAACCTGCAGCAGTTTGTATCACAGATAAACTCAAGATATGACAGCTGTGGTTCATAAATTCGGTAGAGGAGCTGGAAAGAAATATGGTTATGTGGAATGAGGAATTACAGTCCTTGTGAACATCTTCTTTGGTTTCCTGTCTTAACCTGATTGTGCATTGTGTGCATGGAAATGTAGTTATTATCACTCACACGACACCCACCCCCCTTCTCACTCACTCCCTCCCTGTCATTATCCTTCCCTTTCTCTCCCTCCTGTGCCGTCTCCCTCCTGCTCTCTGCTGAGTCTTATCAGTCTGTGGGATAAAGGTTAGTTAGGTCACAGTTTAGCCCTGCCAGTATAAACTGGTCAACAGTCTGGCTGTTCTTTTATTACCACGGCAACCTCACTGGTTGAACTCCAGTCTCATCTCCATCATTATCCGTCCTCAA